GAAGAATATGATCAACTGACATAGTCCATGCAAATGAGGCTCTTATTCACAAAATCAATGATTAAAATTGTATAATTCGTCACCCGCAAGGGTTAACCTCATTTGGCGAAGGTATGAGATTGTGGAACTCTTGTTTTAGCTTGCAGTGCACGCTATCCAGATATGTAGTAAGTTTCCCGGCTTGTATTTCACGTGCATTCTATAACGAAGAACATCTATGCATTCAGGTGGATTTAGGAGAAATGAAGACCGTCACAGGCACCATCATCCAGGGTCGCTATCATAATTACGACCAGTGGGTGACCTCATACAAACTACAGTACAGTGTAGATGGCCTTAGTTGGATCACGTATGCAAGTAGCGATGGCTCCGAAGAGGTAGGTTATATACAAAGATATCCCTTTCTTTCTAGATCTATCAGAAGAAAGATCAAATTCGTCCTAAAAAGCCATAACAGCTGTTACCTACTAGGGTTTAGATTTGACTTGCCATTGATGTTGTTTGTCTCGGCGCCCAGCTATTATATTGTACTTACTTGAGTAGGTCTCCTCATCTCTGTGAATGGCCTGCGTCAAAGTCAGTCTTTCGTCTGCACAGCGTCCTGCGCCATACTTGGCGGCCGTGGGCGATCCTCTTCAGGTCCTCTAGAGTCCGACTGGGTTGGCGCATATATATATATAGTATGCAAAGAATTAAAAAAAAAACTGGTCTTATTTATCGTTTTGTTGTCCAGGTGTTTCCAGGCAACACCGACAGGAACACTCCTGTAACCAACCTGCTGGACAGTCCCACTGAAGCCCGGTACGTGCGTTTCCTGCCTCAATCCTGGCATGTCCATATGAGTATGAGGGCGGAGGTTCTAGGCTGCAGCGTTAACGGTAGGTTTCTGTTGAAAGCCGTTGCATTGGCACTTGACTCGTTGAGTTTATTGCATATTGTTAACATGTTCCTCTGCTTGTTACTTCGATTGTATAAACGTATTGTGAAATTAGAGATTGCATGCAATTACTAGTATATCGTTTTTCACCTGAACTATACGTGGCAGGTGGCAACAGTAGAAAATTTAAAAAAATAACCTATACGTGTGACGTAACGATGGTTTAAGAACGTTACCACTCCCACTACAATGAGGTTGTTGCGCTCGATCGTATTACTTATCAATTCTGTGCCCTCTTTCGCAGGAATATGGCTGCGACGGGATTCGTCATGGGTCGTGGACTCCACAGGTACACCGTGGGTCGACAACGGAGTGACATATGATGCCGCAAAGCCTTGGATGGAAACACTAGTACCTACTGGAACGTCATAGATACCGGGCAGAACCACAACAACTGGTACATCGTGCTGGACATCGCAGCGCCTCAAACTCTGACGCGCATCGCAGTGAACAGCTACGGAGACACCACCCACGACATCGCAGCCTTCAAGTTGCAAAGTTCTCAGGTTGTGAGTCCGTACAGCTGGGAGGACGTCGTGTCCGTCGATAACGTGCAGGGAGGGACGGACCAGAGACAAGAGTTCGGCGGGTTCCAGGGAACAGCGCGGTATTGGAGGTTCGTGGTCACCCGGACCCATGAGGGCTGGCAACCTTATCTCACTGAACTCAACCTCTTCAGCATCTCCCCAGGTATTTTTTCTTCTTTGTTTGTTCCGGCATAGTCTGATTGCTCCAGTAGCCGTTTTACGTGTGTCTTTTCTTTCAAATATAACGATAAGTAAACAAAACATTTTTTTTTTAAATTCCTGTCTTTCTTGTTGTCACAAAAAGTCACACAAGTATATTACCTCGGCTACATGCTGGTAAATGACCATGCTATATTTTAAGGCAATGACCATAGGCATGTTATTTGCGGTCGGGTGGTCTATGGAGAAATTTCAAGAGACCGAGAAGGTGGTCGCCTTAGGAGGAAGTTGCCCTACCAGATCTGACTGTATGCTGTTTTATCCAACAGTGAACAGCCTAACGCTCAGGACCAGCAATACCTCTGTCCACTCTGGCAGTGTTGACTCTTTGACAGTTGAAATCTTCTCTGACCTTTGTGATGATGTCTGCACGAACACAACTGTATCCGGACTTACAGACGTCGGGTACGTAATATAAGATACGAGTAGCCGGTACATAATTGTAGCTGCTTTATGTAGTCTCGGTCTGATGGTTCGCCTTTTTCAAGTTACAGCCTTACGGAAAAAAGTTGCCCAGAGTTGGATGAGACGTCTACTTATAACCATCTTATTTAAAACGGACAGTACAGTTTCTTGTGGTGACAATGTGGTGAATGAGTTATCTGCACAGTTAAATCTGTAACCCTTTACAAGTGTTGTGTACTACTGTAAATGAATTTTTGTTCGCGAGAGTTTTAACTTCGTGATATTCACGGAGTCATCTCCTCGCGAACACTTTTGTTCCGTACTGCCCCCCTCCCCCGCAAACCATGCCCCCCCGTATATGAAGACAACAACAACGTATACTAGTACTAAGACTCCAAGAATAACATCGTTTTTGTAATGAAATTCATTTAGTGAATCTTTGATTGTATCTTCCCACATGCACAACATCAAAGCACCGAGTACGATCGAACCTTTGCCGCTCCCAATTTCGGACGTCCCACAAGGCTTCGACTTACAACTTCAGGAGCGGACTGGCTCAAACTCGACTGGGTAAGCAAATATAATATTATGAACTTTGAACAGACTACTGCATATTATGTCAATACACTCATATCTGTTTAGTTTGGAACTACCTCCTTAAGTTCTTCATATTGATGCTATTGATATTTTTCTTTCCAGGTTGATGTGTACAATGTTTATACTGGGCTACACCATCGTTTTTCCTGTCCCAGTGAAGGTTGCCAGTTATCAACTGATCCAAGTGAGGGGAGCCGACAGGTGGTCTTAGATATTGATGGTAAGTACATGTACATTTCTTTCGAATGCTGGATAGGTTTTGTGATTAATAGATGAAGTGGCGTAAGCTTGGTCCCCCGAGCAGATTGTTTGGAGGCACAATGCGCCTTTTTGTATGAAACTTTAAGATGCAGTTGGTGTTACAGTGTTACAGTAGGTTAACGATGTCACGTACTAACAACAGGAACAACTGCCTTATATTTTAGCAATATTGGCCAGGCAACAGGCTTGTATTTGTGGAATCATGTCACATAACTACATTTTTTACACCTTGTCTTCACAAAACATATTTGTGGTAAACTACTTAAGATTCATGTACAAATTAATCATCAGCTTTATTGCCACCTTAAATCGATAATTGTAGCTTCTAGTAACTTCTTCATAACCAGGCCAGTATTAACTTTTATTGCATGTCATTTTGCATGCATAGTATGCACTGTATCCAAAGTGCACATTACATTTTTTATACATGTATTATCGGGCCAGACCTGGCCTAGGACACAGCCTACGAAATCACGCGTAGCCTTTCCTAACAAATTAAAGTACATATACGTCACCATATACACATAACGTTACAGGACAGGCAAGTCTAGCTAACCTCATGTATAATTTCTGGATAACGATATTGTTTATCGGATGGAAAGATCGGTCGAGTAAGTATCAGAGGTTTTGGCACTTTTATTTAAAATATACTAAATCTAAATAAAATTATACTAAAATACTAAAAGTAGG